CTATCGCCGCTGGATCTCCCCTCCTCGTGAACCAAACACTCGTGAACAACACAACTATGCCGAGGTCAGTCCCCGACATATGGGACCCTATCCAGAGAAGCAGCGACACCAGATATGGAGGCAGAGATGAGGACATGGAGAAAGGGAGTAGATGAGTACTCGAGACTCATGGAAAGAGAAAGGCTGTGTGTCGGCAGCCAGGTCCTGGTGGCCAAGACGCAGGCTTGCAGAATATGCCCTTTGGTTGTTTAAATGATTATATACTCCTGAGTGTTTTTGTGTACATCCCCCCAACCACCACGAAAAAAAAAAAAAAAACACGTAAAACAGAGGGAATAGAAGCAAATACTGTTGACTGATGATGCACAGAGGAGACTGTAATCATTGCAATGAAACAATGAATGTAAAACTGATGTCCTCCCATATAAACTAATCACTCAATTCATAATAAAAACTTAAAAACAAAACAAAATAAAAACAGTTTGTATAAAAATGGAATTAAAAGGTAAAAACTGAAAATATTTAAAAATAAATAAATAAATAAACCAGACAATACTTTTGGTATTTTATAAATCATCAGGAATAATCATTTATGACTGAATCCATTTGGAGGACAGATAGTAAATAAGCAAGTCTCCTAGCTGTGCTGTTGACAGTTGCCTTCTAGACGGCTCTGACTTACCGTGACCCAACGTGTGCAAGAACAACACAGTGCTGGGTCCAGTGACAGCTATCCCGACAAATAGTCACCGGGCACCATCAGTAACACACTGTTTGAATCTTTGGTACAAACCACAACACCTGTGTCTACACATATAAAGGTTATCAAAACCTTTTCACTATTCAAACTGTGCTGTTGTTATGTGCTATCAAGTCACTTCAGACTCACAGCAACCTCTGCACGGGGTTTCCAAGCAGTGGCTGGTGGGTTTGAACCGCCGACCTTGAGGCACAAGCTGACCTTGGGGCCCAGTGCATTACCCTGCAGCTTAACTTGACATATGGGCTGGCATCTATCATGTTATTGTATAGTTCACTGCAGCTAGGAGACTTTGCATCTTTTGAGCCTGGAAAAGGAAGACTTTGCCTCAATAATTACAAACAAGCTGTACATGTTGTCAGGAAGGACCAGTTCATGGTGAAGAACAGCAGAGGGTCAGAGAAAAGAGGACGAACCTCAATGAGATGGACTGACTGACACAGTGGCTCCAACACGGGCTGAGACCTAACAGCGTGGGGAGGACGGCGTGGGACTGGGCAGTGTTGTTTCCTTCTGTTGTGCCGGGGCTAGCTACAACTTAGTGGCAGTCAGCAGCTGATTTCTCAGACTCAGGTGGACAGATCTGCTCTCTGGGATGAGTCCCACGCAGCCTCTGCACATGTTTCCATCAGTATGTCAATCACACTGCATGTTAATGAGGGGCTTTCATCTCCACCCTCTCCTCCCAACTCTGATCTCTTCCAGGAAGGGAGCCTGTGTGTGTGTGTGTGTGTGTGGGAAGACCCTCACTGCACTAACAGAGTAGACACTGGCTCTTCTAGCTTTACCACACTGCACTTCTTTGTGCTTCATAGATGCTGAGGGGTCTGGCTTTGTTTTTAACAAATTGAAGGCTTGTGAGAACCCTGCACCGAGAAAGGAGGAACTCTGGTGGTATAGTGGGTTACTCCTTGTGCTGTTAACCACGAGGTCAGCAGTTCAAACCCACCAGCCACTCCCCAGGAGGAAGATGAGGATATTTGTTCCTGTAGAGATTTACAGTCTCAGGAACCCAAAGGGACAGTTCTCCTCTGTCTAGAGGGTTGTTATGAGTGGGAATGGACTCAACGGCACTGAGTGTGGGGTGGGGTGGGGCATCTCTCGGACAGTACGGGCTCACCTTGTGTCTGTGTCATTTTGCGCAGTCTTACGATATCTTAATCTTTTTCATTACGCTATTGTGCACACTCAGTAAACTTCAGAACAAACTTTCATATGCACTGGAAAATCAAAGATTTATGTGGCTCACTTCCTTGCAATATTCGCTTTATGGCTGGACCTGAGCTGCCAGTAACTCCAAGGTATGTCTGTATTTAATGTGCGATGGCTCAACAGATCACCTGCATTTCATATCATCTTTCAAATTACATTATATTCCTGTGCTTCTGTCTCTACGTTACACGATAAATCGTGGGAAGTTCATATCCAAAATACCCACTCTTTTTTGACACTGCGTTACCCATAAACATTATGATCGGTCAAAAGAAAGCAAATAAATATTTTTCCAGCTGATGTGTTTCTACACTGATTTTGGGAGAAAGAAATCATAATGAGATTCTCCCCACAACCTGACATCCAAGATGAAGTTCTTTCCTCATGTTTAAACCACAGCAGCCTCCTGGTATCTAACTCTTCCCCCATTTTTCTGTCAGGGGAATGTTCCAAGAGCGCATCTCTGAGAGAGACTTGCTGTCATTGTGTACTGGTGACTGGCTTTTCAACTCACATCCTGCGACAGAGTAGGACTTCTCCAGAGGGTTTTCCGGGCAATAGTCTTTATGGGAGAAAATCGCCAAGTCTTTTCTCCCACAGAGCTGCTGGGTGGGTTTGAACCACCAACCTTTTGGTTAGCAGTCAAATGCTTAACCATTGCACCATCAAGGCTCCTTTGAGCAGAAAGTAGAAAGGTAATCTTTAAAGACTGCCAATCCACTAAGAGCTGCATTCACAGTTTGGTGCAACTTAAAGCCCTGTCTCTAACTTCTACACTAACACCACACATTACAGGCAAAATACACTAGAGAATTAAATATGTTAACTCACTTTCCCTTGCCCCTCTTAACCCTGGTCTTCTTATAACATGTGACCACATTCTGCCTTGTATTACAGTACTACAGGGAGGTATTGAATCCGAAGTAAGTGCTAAGTTTTTCATGGCTGTATTCTCCCAAATGTTCAGCATACAAAATCTCTATTAAAAGAAAAGAAGTGAAGGAAAAGCCATTTTGAAGGGAAATGCTGAACTATGAATTAAAGTATCTGAGAAAAATCATATGAAGCCCAAATTCCAAGAGAAGAGGTAAGAGACAAAATATGTAGCCGAGTCTCCCATGGTGCACTGCTCCTCCCAAGCCCAGCTTCCCGCACACAGGCACTCACCTATGGAGCCTTTAGCAGCGATGGCAACAGCCTCCAGTAGAACCTGAATGATGCCTGCTCGAACTCGCGGAGACTCTTTTCTACGAACATCAAGGTGTCCTAGAATCTCCTGGATCACGTGGTGAGAATACTGAGCCTAAAGGTCACAAAACAGGACAACAAGGTGTGAACAAGTATCGGCAGCCTGGGGTTGTCATAAGAATAAACAAAGGGACATTTAAATGTCTGGTTACAGGGACTGATTAAGATGTTCACGCTATGGGATGCTATGACAGGGCTTCAGAAAGTTGGTGAAAAAATTCCACTGTCTTGTAATTCAGTTTTCTATGAACTTTTTGAAGTCCTCTCATTTTAGTCAACAATTTAAAAAAAAAAAAAAAGAGAGAGAGATAAATAGATAGGGCTACTAGAAATATTTTTGATAGCTTGAGTGGAAAAAGCAAGTTGCAAAATTTGATATTCAATAAAATTCAAACTGGTTTTTAAAAGACACATATGACTATGTTGCTGTTAAGTGCCGTCAGGTCAATTTGACTCATAGTGACTCTGTGTAGGGTTTCGGAGGCTGTAAATCTTTAGGGGACTGGAAAGATTTATCATTCTCCTGTGAAATGACTGGTGGGTTTTACCTACTGACTGTGAGTTTACCCTATAGACGATAGTTAAATATAATGGAATATTCACAGTGCATATTTTTGAGTAATTTTTATTCTCTTCTAATTTCTCTGTGATTTCTAATTCACAACATTTATACACTGTTGTAATTTGATAGCAGGAAAAAATGTTGCTAAAAAGTAAAAGATTATTAACATTTACAATACTTCTTCTTGCTCAATAAAAAAAAACTATTTTTATTGTGGACACCTAGTTATGTATGGTGTTGGAGGAGAATATTGAAAGTGCCATGGGCTGCCAAAACAACAGATCTGTGTTGGAAGAAGTGCAGCCAGAGTGCTCCTTGGAGGCCAAGATGGCCAAACTTCGTCTCTCATACTTGGGACATATTGTCAGGAGGGACCAGTCACTGGTGAAGGTTATCATGTTTGGTAAGGTGGAGGGTCAGAGAAAAAGAGGAAGACCCCCAGCGAGATGGCAGCATCCATGGATTCAAGCGTGGAAACAGTAGTGAGGCTGGCCCAGGATTGGGCAGTGTTTCAGTCTGCTGTGCATAAGGTTGCTATGAGTCGGTACCAACTCGATGGCAGCCAACAACAACAACAACACAACCATGCCCAACAGTGAAAAATCTCATTCCATCATTGTCAAAATGAAAAATGCTTGATCATTTCAAGTCCATTGAGTATTATTGTTATTTTAAAGATGGAATAGTTTGTTCAATAGTTTGTTCAATCCTCTCTCTCTTTTTTTTTTTTTAATTGTTGACTAAAAAGGTTGTTTAATACTCCACACATACTCGGGGAGTGCGGTGGCTCCATACGATAAGCACTTGACTTTCAACCACAAGGCCAGCAGTTCAAGCCCACCAGTTGCTCCATGGGAGGAAGATGAGGCCTTCTGCTCCCGTGAAGATGTAAAGCCTTGGAAACCTTATACAGGATCACTACGACTCAGAACCGACTCGATGGCATTTAATAACAACAAACATCTACACTGAAACGTGAGTGGGTCTCCACTGTGCACCACGTGATATAAAGAAGAGGACCTCCCATCTGTGTCTGCCTTCCCATGGCCCCACAGCCCTGTGTCAGGTTCATTATGCCTGCGAGCCTGGGAGCAAGCTATCTTAACCTTCTAAAGGTCAGTTTTCAGAGCAATAAAACGGGGATCCTAACAGTATCTACCTCATCCATCCAGGAGGACGTAATGACATGACACACAGAATGCAATCGGCACAGCATAAGACACAGCTGGTTTGCCATGGGATGCTGGTAGCGTAAACTATTTCAATGTATAATTAACATATATATTTATATACGATTAGCATATGGACTGTTGGTGTAGTGCTGTAGGTTCAGCTGGACTGCAAACCGTAAGGTCAGCAGTTCAAACCTATCAGCCGCTCCTCGGAAATCCTATACAGGGTCATTATTGGAATTGACTCAGTGGCACTTAGCAACAACAAACAGCATATAGTATCATTATATACAATTATATATAACATATGTGCTATCATAATAGGAAATATACTCAACATGCACGGCTTCACACAGACTGTTATTTTAATATATAACATATAAAGGGAATACATAGGAACCTGCCCACGCTCCTATAGTGCATCCAGGAAGCAATTCCTGGTAGGCCTGTACTCAAATCTCTGCTGCTTCATACTACCTCATCACTTTTAAAACAACGATGACTTTTCAGGCCATTAAAAATATCAGTGGTGTACTACAGACCTGAATTCCCACTTAAGAGTTACCTGAGTCTGTTCACACTTTGAGAACAACCCAGTTGGTCCTCTGCCTATCTGTGTCATAAGCTTCTATAAACACTAAGCGTCAATATTCAATGACTGCCCAGCTATGTTGCTGTTGCTGCTGCTGCTGCTGTGGGCCATCGAGTCGGCTGTGAGTCACAGCGGCCCTGTACAGGGTGTCCGAAGCTGTCTATCTCTATGGGAGAAGAAGGTCTTGCCTTTCTCTCCCCTGTGGAGCAGCTGGTGGATTTGAACTGCTGACCTTGTGGTTAGCAGCCCATCACATAACTCACTACACCACCAGCCAGTGCTCTATGTTTCTATAAATAAATACACATTCCAGTACCAGTTTATTAGTAAAATACAGTAGCACAATCAAGAGCATGGTTTTTTTATTAGGTATCATTTCTTCTTGGCACATAAGAGTGGTAAATGGTGGTAAAGAATTAATACAAATCAGTTGGGTTCAGCCTGGTTTGTACCCGTTCCTGCACTCCACCCCCAGTGATCCCTATCTGGTGGATGGCCTGATACCTACAAAGAACCAAAAGCATGTCTAGAAATATAACCAATGCCCTGAGTCCTACCTGGATGGAATACATTATGATCTTAAAGCAGTGAACTGCAAATTCATTGGGATCCCATAGTTTGTGATGATCTAAATGCCTAGAAATAACAATTAAAAATTATTTGGAGAATACAGATTTTATTACATATTTTTCCTCTAGCCCCCTCAACAATACACAAAGCTTAACAATCATTTTCAGCACTATGATACACACAGCTGATTTTTCTTATCTGAGGTCATTTGGTTCAATCAAGTTGCCACAAACACTGAATTAGTGAATAAGAACATTCTCCTCCGGAAAATCAAAGGGTAGGCAAGCCTCTGGTGACACGTACATCAACTGGTTAACATGTACTCTGGTTTTAAGTGCGCTTCTGTTTAAAGACCTCCTACTTGACACATACTGTTGATGCATTAACATGGAACTCATCAGTACCCTATGCCTGAATGAAACTCACCTAATGCGCGTACTCGCTCTGTAAAACACATCATGGCCTTTATGTGCTTAGGAACACTAGACAGTGCTTCGGCACTGCAGTGGGGAGGCCAGCTGATAGAGTGAACTCACTCACATAAGGCAAAAAACACAGACACCATGCACTAAACAGAACACGAGAGCTGACACGAGAAGACAGTAGCACCCTGGTGACCGTGCTGGGAACAGGTGGATTATGTGACTCTAATGCTCTGCCCCTCTGCCCACATCCATACAGGACCAAGGAAGGGCTTCACTGATCTGAGCAGATGGATTTGCAAACATGGAACCCAGGAATAATGGGGACTGAGTGTGCTTCCCCCAACTATCAAACTCTGACATAAAACAGCAAAATGGTAGATTCTTAAATATAAATATGAGCTAACAAGAAAGAAAAGTCCCTCAGGCCAAATCCCCGAAGAAGTCAAGCTCTCTAGATTTAAATGAGGTTTACAGAATGCTTCACAATAAAACCTGCATTGCCTGTCTGGACATTAATGTAAAAATGTGCTTTTTTGTTGTATTTTATAGTATTCGATTATTTCTGAGCAGCACCTCCAGTGTTTAAGCAGGAGATCTCAATGTTTTTCAGTCACAGAATCCTTTGAAAATCTAATGATTCTCTGATTTCCTATATAATTTAGAGGATCAACCTCAACAAAGATAACCTCAAACTCCAGGGTAAGGACATCCACCCTAGATATTAAGCCTTTGGGATGTTATACCTGGACTCTTTGGACATGGTGCAGAAGCTGAATACGATGAACAATGCACATGATTAACAAAAGGAGGATTAAAGCTGCATCTGTGTATTCCATCTGGTGAGGTCCATGTGTAGTCGTCTTTTATATTGTTTAAAAAAGGTATCTGCAATGAACCAGTCATTGATCTTGCAAAATTCTACCATTCGATCTCCAGCATCGTTTCTATCACCAAGGCCACATTTTCCTACTACTGATCCTTCCTCTTTGTTTCCAACCTTTGCATTCCAATCACCAGTAATTGTCAGTATATTTTGACTGCATGTTTGATCAATTTCAGACTGAAGAAGGTGGCAAAATGCTTCAATTTCATCATCACTGGCTTTAATGGTTGGTGGGTAAATTTGAATAGTGGTATTAACTTGTCTTTCTTGTAGGCGTATGTATAGTATCCTATCATGGACAGTGTTCTACGTCAAGACAGAGCTTGAAATATTCGTTTTGATGATGAATGTGATGTCATTCCTTTTCAATTTGTTATTCCTAGCATAATAAACCGTGAGCTTATTAGATTCAAAATCACCAATACTAGCTCATTTCAGCTCACTAAAGCCTATAATATTGATGCTTGTGCATTCCATTTTATTTTTGACAATTTCTAATTTTCCTACATTCATACTTCGCACATTCCATGTTTCAATTATTATTTGATATTTGCAGCTGCTCCTTCTCATTTTGAATTGATGGTTCTCATCACCATGGTGAGCTCTACTCTGAGGAGGCAGCTCTTCCCCAGTTGTATTCTGAGTGCCTTCCAACCTGAGGGGTTCATCTTCTGGCATTGTATCTGACAATATTCTGGTGTCTTCATCATTTTCAATATTCAATATTCTGGTTCTGACAGGATTTCCCTGCTATTTATAAGGCTTTCAATGACTAAATTAAAAAGTGGTGGATGTTCCTTCTGCCAAGTCTGTCTTTGTCTGGAAGCTCAGTTGAAATCTGTCCACCATGAGTGACCCTGCTGGCATCTAAAATATGGGTGGCCTAGCTTCTACCATCACAGCAACATACAAGCCACTACAGTGAGAGGAACTGACAGATGAGTGATTTGTCACATGAACTTCACGAGTGGTTATAAACAGGGACTTCAACAGACAGAATCCACAGAAATCAATTACATCTGTGGAAAGAAACAGTGGAAAAGCTCCATATCAACAGCCAAAACTAGGCCAGGGGCAGGCTATGGGACAACCAATTGCTCACATGTACGTTCAGGCTGAAGCTGAAGAAAACTGACCTTGAACATATCCAGTCTGACTTTAAAGATCATTTAAAGATCACACAAGACACCAGCGACCAAAAACCAGAAGAGCTGTGGAATGACATCAAGATTATACAAGGAAGAAAATAAAAGGTCATTAAGAAGATAAGAAAGAAGAAAAAGACCAAAAGGGATGTCAGGAGAGACTCTGAAACTTGCTCTCCTGTGTAGAGATGCTAAAGCAAATGGAAACAATGATGATGTAAAAGAGCTGAATAAAAAATTTCAAAGATCAGTTTGAGAAGACAAAGTCAAACATTAGAATGAAACACGCAAAGACTGGAACTAGATAAGGAATAGGGAAATACACATTCAGCATTTTCCAACCTGAAAGAAGTGAGAAAAAAATTCAAGTCTCCACTTGAAATACTTAAGAATTCTATGACCAAAATAATGAATAATGCAGAAACCATCAGAGGAAGATGAAAGGAATACAGAGTCACTATACCAAAAAGAAATGGTCGCTATTCAGCCATTTCAAGAGGTAGCATATGATCAAGAATCAATGGTACTGAAGAAAGAAGTCCAATGTGTACTGAAGGCAAAGAACAAGGCTTCGAGAATTGATGGAATACGAATTGAAATCTTTCAACAAACTGATGCAGCACAGGGGGCATTAATTCACATATGCCAAAAAATTTGGAACAGTCACCTGACCAACTGATTGGAAGAGACCCATAGCTGTGCCCATTCCAAAGGGAGGTGAGTCAATGGAATGTGCAAACCATCAAACAAAATCATTAGTATCACATGCAAGTAAAATTTTTTCTAAAGGCAATTTAAAAACTACTGCAATAGTACATTGAAAGGGAATTTCCAGAAGTTCTAGCTGGATTCAGATGAGGAAGTAGAATGAGGAATATCATTGCTGACGTTAGATGGATCTTGGCTGAAGGCAGAGAATACCAGAAAGATGTTTGCTTGTGTTTTACTGACTAGGCAAAGGCTTTCGACTATGAGGATCATGACAAGTTAGAGACAACAGTGTGGAGAATGTGTATTCAGTAACACTTTACTGTGCTCATGAGGAACCTGTACATAGACCAAGAGGCAGTCATTCAAACAGAACAGGGGGACACTGAATGGTTTAGAATAAGGAAAGGTGTGCACCAGTGTTGTATTCTTTCACCATCATATTTATTCAATCTGTATGCTGAGCATATAACCCGAGAAGCTGGGTTATATGAAGAAAAACGTGGCATCAGGACTGGAGCAAGATTCATTAATTAGCAACCTGTGATATGTAGAAGATACAACCTTGCTTGCTGAAAGCGAAGAGGACTTTAAATACTTACTGATGAAGATCAAAGAGCACAACCTTCAATATGGGTTGCACCTCAATGTAATGAAAACAAAAATGCTCACCACTGGACCAATAAACAACATTCATATCAGTGGAGTACAGACTGAAGTTGTCAAAGACTTCATTTTGCTTGGAATCATCAACAACGCTCAAGGCAGCAGCAGCCAAGATATCAAACGATGTATTGCATTAAGCAAATCTGGTGCACAAGTCCATTTTAAAGTGTTCAAAAGCAATGATGTCAGTTTGAAGACTAAGGTGCACCTGACCCAAGCCATGGTATTTTCAGTAGCCTCACATTTAATGTGAAAGTTGGGAAATGAATATGGAAGACTGCAAAATAATTGATACATCTGAGTTATGGTGTTGGAGGAGATTATTAAAGGTATCACTAGCTGCCAGAAGAACAAACACATCTGCAATGGAAGACCACCACCCAGATGCTCCTTAAAAGCCAAGGCAGCCAGACTTCATCTCTGGCACTTTGGACATATTATCAGGAGGGACCAGTTCCTGTAGGAGGCCATCGTGTTTGTTAGAAAGGAGGGACAGTGGAAAAGAGAGACCCCTAGGAGATGGACTGGCACAGTGGCCGCAACAATGGGCTCCAGGCACGTGGCAATTGTTGAGATGGCACAGGACCGGGCGCTGCTTCATTCTGCTGGACTTAGAGTCGCTATGGCACCTGATAGCAACAACATTAAAACTTCAGAAGAAAAAGAGGATGGCCCCCAACGCGACGGACTGGCACAGTGGCAAGAGGAATGGGCTCAGGCATAGCACCATTCTGAGAATGAAGCAGGACGTGGCAGTGCTTTGCTTTGTTGTGCATCGGGTCGGTATGAGTCGGAGCCGACACGACAGCACCTAACAACCTCACAAACAATTCAGAACATCACACAGGCAATCTCTCACCTGATGAATGAGGTCGAACACAAAGCCTTCACAAAAGACTGAGATTGTGTGTATGCAAAGAAACCCAAAGTTCACATACACTTCTGCTACAGGACTCGTTGGCACCTAACAACAACAACAACAACAACAAGGTGAAGAAGAGAAAGCCGAGTAGGAGAAATAGCATCCCTGTTGTGACTCGTCACGAGGTGTGGTAGATGAACTGACTGATACAGCTTTTCTATCCAAAGCCTTGTTGCTGTTATCAAGTGGATTCTGACTATGGCGATATTTTATAGGATTTCTAACCAACAACCTGTTGTTAGCAGTCTACTGCTTATCCTATAGTGCCACATGCAAATAGGGTGTTCAGGACTCTAATACTAAGACTGGTTGTTTTTGTCATCCAGCTCAGAAGTAGGGATAGATGACCCCGGACCATCACGAAGGACAAGCCCTGTGCGTGCTGTGAGAGGCAGAGCAGCTGCCGCCTTTCTGGCCCACGGACCCAGGAAAAGTCCAAGTGCCTTCAGATAGGAAGCTGGCTTGCAGAATGTGTCTGAAGGAGCTCTGTGACACTGGCCAGAGCAGAGCAGAGGCCGAGGGACCCCACAACCTGAAGACAATAGTGAGGGTGCCTGCATAGGGCAGACCTGAGGCGTTCCTCAAGGGAGGACTGCTGAGTCCCAAGGTGCTTTTGATCCTGAATTGTACCCCGCTCACTTCCCTAAAAATCCCCGTAACTGTGAGCACTGTTATGAGGTCTGTGTGCCCATTGCACTGGATTATGGAGCCCTGATGTGCAGCAGAGAGCGCTGTGGGAGGGAGGGTTGCTGTCAGAACAGGATAAAGAAGGTTGTAGGGTGGAAGCATGTCTGACCTCCACTTCACAGGAATCAATGGACCTTGGGCTGATTTTGAGTTTTTGTCTCCTTCCCCCTGTGAAACCAGGGGGAAGTCAGACATGGCCTCCCTGCTGCTTTTGCTCTACATATAAACTGAAATTTATTCTGAGAAATGAATGGCAAACACAGCAAGAAATGAAATAAACATAAAAAAGGCCAGGGAACAGGAGGAACTGACACTCGGTTGTAATATTCTGCCGCACTTCTGTAGTTTAAAGCTTCTAAGTGGAGATTCCAGTTAATGACACATGTACTTTTGTGTACACTGTTGTATTTCATATTTAAGGAGAGAAAGCTAGTTCAATGGTTGGTGATGTGCGGTCTGACTCCATCCTGGGCTATTCCTGCTCCCGCACGTCATCCTGGTACCGTAAGTAGCCTGGTCACGCAGCTAAATGAGGACTCGTCCTCGTCAGTAAACACACAACCAACCAGACGAAGCCCAACTACTCACGCAAAGACAGGTTTAACAGCATTGTTCATGTTCCCAAAAGTTGCACGACCCAGCAGTTCTCGGAAGCAGTTTTCTGCCAGCACAGCGGGGTTCTCTTCCTTGTCGGCTGTGGAAGGAGAAGAAGGAGGCCCTAGTCGACTGGAAAGAAAGAAGAGGAAGAGAAAGGAACAACGGATGCAAAAATTCTAATATGAATTCCAACAGTCTACCAGAAGAGAGTTTACTCTACAGACCTTCTAAAATAACAAATCCTTTTATCCCCAAACAGCTTTGTACCCTAATTCTCCCTTCAAGAACAGAACATCTCCTAAACTACTACTCTAATCTTCTAAAGAAGGAGAAGAAAACCCGTCCAGTAGCTTATTTGTAACCCGGGGGGCAAGGTTCTCCAGGAAGCTGCCCCTTTATGCACTCTCACATGGCTTCTCTATGCCTACTGCAACTGCTCAGTAAGAGCCAGATAACCTTTAGAGCTCTCCAGCATAATTCTAAGTGGGCAAAAGTGGTAAGTGAAGCTGTATGACACTGCCCGTGAATAAAAGATACATTTTTAAAAGCTAATTAGAACAGTTTGGACATAGGTGTTTTCAACAGACAGTCACATCTAAGGGAATAAACGTTTCTTTCCCTTATCAGCATAACTTTGGTAGTGGTGGTTAAGTATAACTTTGGTAGTGGTGGTTAAGTACCGTGAAGTCAGTTCCGACTCATAGCGACCGTTCACTACAGGGCTTCCGAGGCTGTAAATCTTTACAGGAGCAGAAAGCCTCATCTTTCTCCCGCGGAACAGCTGGAAGTTTTGAACTGCTGACCTTGAGATGAGCATGTAAGGGCTTCAGAGAATTAATTTCACATTTTCACTTCTCCTAAACCATTTCATTTTGATATGATCATCAAATTTCTAAAGAAACTTTAACCTCTAGAACTACAGAATCAAATCTCTTCAATTTGATCCAAGTTGTTCTCTTCAGACTGGAAGAACCAGGAAGGCTGGGCACTGTGCCAAACTGGAGATGACAGGTTCTGAAATGCAGTGAGGGAATACTCACAGCAGTGGAAAAATGGGGAGCAAGAACAGAGCCCTCAGTGGGAAAATCAGCAGGTACCCCAAAGACTCTCTCCTTCCAAACTATCTGAACAGAATAAATAAAAAATGGTGTCTAATGTTTTTCTGGACATGGAGTGGGAAGTATTTACATACGGAATAACTACTATTATGACTGCAGTTGCCATTATTACTAGTCTTATTGTAACAGACACTCAGCTATATTCTCTACTTCTCAGATTTGCAACTTTAATAACTACTTATTCAATAGCAATTTGTATGCTCAGTAATGAGCAATAAATAAAGTATAAATTCACTCTAAAACAAATTAATACATACAGTCAAAGTCATGTTAGGACTTCTAGTGTGGTGCTGTAGGATCAGCACTGGACTGCAAGCTACAAGGTCAGCAGTTCAAACCCACCGGCAGCTCCTCACAAAGCCTAGTACAAGGTCACTATGAGTTGGAATCAATCTGACAGCACTTAACAACAACCACCTTTATACCAGTACTATTTATACAAAACTAAAGACACAATTCTCTTATCCTAGCAAGCATGCACACACACACATGAACATAACATAGCTTCTACCCTAACACCTTTTATTTCATACCTGTCCACCTCTTCTGTCTTTTGCATGTTAAACAGCAGGGACGGGACAATCTTATCCATATGCTGGGGTTCCCAAATTGTGGCCTGAAGTTCATCATTAACTGTTTTGCGAACCACTCCTTGAATACCTCTTATTCCAGCAATTCGGATACTGTAAGAGAAAACTCACTGTAGTCACAAAGAAAGGCTCTTCAACAAACCTTTTTGCCTAGTGAGGGGAACAGATACAACATGACACTTGGCATCTCAAGTTACGTTAAGTAAAAGCAATATGCAAAAATAAGTCTAAGAAATTAAAACCTCAAAGATCTGAGAGGGCCATAAAGGCACAGCAGTTCTAAAAGAAGCTTACTCTAAATAGCATCTTGGAAAAATCAACATTTACAGTTTAAAAGGACTGTAAAATATAGATACAGAATCTGTGGTCTGTGTTTGGCAGCAAAAATAATCTTATCAAAAGCATTGTTATTGTTAAGTGCCATCAAGTCGACTTCAACTCATAGCAATCCTGCGAAGGGTTTCCAAGGAGTGGTTGGTGAGTTTGAACCCACTGACCCTTGTGGTTCAAAGCAACCTTGCTGTCCAGTGCTTTATCCCACAGCACCACAGTGATGCAAACCATTCTGAGCTATGCTCTACATTTCTTGCTGAGAAGCCCGAGGAGCTGGGGCAAGCAGGCTTTCTTCACTGGGCTCCCTCAGCCCTTTGCTCCCTAGAAGCAGTGGGGACGTGCAAGGTGTAACAAACGAGAACTGTCGAAACAGAATACAGATAACCTGAGTCACATGGATCCCAAGCTCAATCACACACTCACTGTGAGTCCATTCTGACCCACAGCAAACCCTACCTAGGGTTTGAGACTGGAAATCTTTACGGCAGAAGACAGCCTCGTCTTTCTCTGGAAGAGCAGCTGGTGGATGTTACCCACCAACCTTGGGGTTAGTAGACCAATGCTGAATACACAGTGCCACCAGAGGCCCAACATAGTGAAAAAATGTTGTTCAATCCTCCCAACCTAATCCACAGCCCCAAAGTTCCTGGAGGGATTTCTCAGTCTTGTTGAAAATCATCTCCAGCTTCAAGAACGGGAAGAAGAGGCAGATAGTTTCTCAAGCAGATACAGCCGCTGTTCCACTTGTCCCTCTATAGCCAAACAGAACTATTTTCCTAATCGCTGAAATACTGACCAATTGGAAGTTTGCTCCATTACCCAATTTTGTCTCCCAAAAACTGCAAATAAGTTTAAAGAATGGAAGCTATAGGGACAAGGATGATACTGCTTTACCAGTCCGTGGGGCAGTATGTCAGGAGTAGGAGCTAGAGAGTGAGACGTGGCAGTAATGTGACACTGGACAGGCAGCAGAAGGGAACTGGGAGGTATAAAGATGCACTTTGATCAACTCAAAACTACCTAGACATCCTGCTTCCTAAAACATTAAAGATGATGGTTTGAGAGGCTCTTGTGCAGCTATCAGAATGGGCAAATCCAGCACTACATGCTTTGCGAACTTGCTGGTACTCCTTGGGGGAGGTCAAGGCCAAGGCTGCTAACAAAGGCCAGGGTGGTGGAGAACACACAGACCGCTGAGACGGCACAAGGAGAACTCAGGAGCCGACTGCCAGAGCAGCAGCTTAGGAGACCCTTGTTTGGAGGCAGGACTACCAACAGCTCCAGTTACCTGGCTGGCATCCACTACAGCTCTAAAGCCTGGCTGAAGCAGCACATTCCAGCCAAAATCTCCAAAGGAATTTCTTATCAAGAAACCAGAACAGGTGAACGACCTGCAGCGAAGAGATCTGCAAGGCCTTCGGTGAGCTAATCCATGGAATGTGCTTCAAGGACAGTGACTCACAGGAAGCATCCAACAAGGGTGGTTGCTCCTGGCAGTGGCTTCAGGGAGCCCTGGTGGCACTCTGGGTTAAGCCTTGAACTGCTAACTGCAAGGTCAGTGGTTCGAGCCCAACAGCCGCTTCTCAGGAGACAGACAGGGTTGTCTGCTTCTTTAGAGATGTATAGTCTTGGAAACCCTGAGGAGCCACTCTGAGTGGGAGTGGATCCCCCACCACACCCCTCGCTGAAGGTTCTGAATGAGAGCTGGAGAAAATATTTTAGGCGCAGGATATGGAGGAAGAGACGCATGTCTTTACAAACGGGAAACACACTCTGCAGACAGGCACTGAAAATAATCTAGACACTCATTCTTTCTGTCTCTTTCCATCCCCTCCCAACTGTAATTCATATTTGATAGTGTTCTGTTCAAAATAAAAGGACTCATGGTAAGTATCACAGTTAGAAACTAACAGGGAACATTAATATGTTTCAGGCAAAGTAAGAAAAAAATTCAAACCAAGTATTTTAGTTCATTAATGTGTTTTGTAGTGTTTCATATATGAAAAGTTGACATTTTAAAATTTCAAATATCGTATTTTAAAGTTCTACTATTAAGTAAAACTCCTTGATTAGATACAGAAAAAATTTTAAACAATGAGAAATGTTAGGCAAAAATATGTTCAAAAGACAACATGCTTCACTAGAGGGAGCTAAATGCCTAAAACTTATAAAATACATTTCTTATTACATAATAAGTGTTTAATGTCTTAATTGCAACCTTTCATAATATTATGGAGATCATATATACTTTTCACCTATACTGGTTCACATATATTAAACTCACTTTAGCCAGAATTCGTGAAATTCCCATTAAATTCATTAATCTAACGATATTAATACTAAATAGAAAACATCCTGCACTTTGGACATTTTTCTGTATTTTAAAAGAAAGCAAGTATTAAAATCTTAACTTTTTAAATTTTTATCTCTTTGCCCCACTGACAACAGTCTCTGAGAACAGGGAACAATTTCATAAAACAATTTTTAAATGTCCCTTAGAGAAGAAAAAATAGGATTTTAATGGTAACTGGGAGATATCAGATATTTATTACTATCAGTAATTATACTACCAAGGCCTCTAAGTTTTTAATAAAGGACTCTGAAGAATGTCTTCTGTCTTTCACAGAGGAAAAAAAATGCACTAACATTATCTGAAGTAGAAAGTAAACAAATCTGAACTTGACTATTAACTGCTTCTCACTTTTCTTCAAGTTAAGAGTTTACACTTGCATGCTATTGTGTTAACCATGCATGCTCTCACTAAAATCCATGTTCTAGTTACACATTCCCTATTTGTGTTAAAATAAAAATGACAATACTCAATTTCCTGTAGGATAAGCATTGAACTGCTAACCAGCACTAGGTGGCAGTTCAAGCCCACCAACAGCTCCTCAGAAACCCTATACAGGGTCAGTATGAGTCAGAACCAAATCGGCGATACTTTACAACAGTCGCAAACTAACTCTCTAGATTGAACAAGGTCATTCCGAATTGAATTCTTTAGTTTTCTCATGTATACACTGGTATCAACCTGCAGCTATGGTGACAGATAGGCATTTGATTCCAGATTACTACTAGGATACAGCTAGAAAAACTTGAAAATGCCCAAAGCATTTGTTATGACCTTACATGGACCCATCCATTGAAATCAAGTCATTCCACTTCACGGCGACCCTGTCGGACAAGGTAAAACTGCTCCTTAGGGTTTGTTGTTGCTCTTAAGTGTCGTCAAGTTGGTTCCAACTCATAGCGAACCTATATAGGGTTTGTGAGAAGCTGCTGTTGAGTTTGAACCATGGACCTTACAGTTCAAACTGACCTTGCAGTCCAGTGCATTATCTAGCCTACAGATAGATAACCATCAGGGTTTGTTGGTGTTAAGTGCTGCCGACTCAGTTCCAACCCATAGCAACCCTGTGTAGGGTTTTCAAGGAGCGGCTGGTGAGCTTGATCCACTGACGTTGTGGTTTAAACAACCTTGCAGTCCAGCGCTACACCAGGACCCCACACCAGGGTTTAGAGGCTGTAAATCTTTATGGAAGTAAACGTCTCAATTTTCTCCCACAGATGGCTGCTGAGTTTGATTTGATGACCTTCCAGTTAGCAGCCCAGACATAACGCATGGAGCCACCAGGGCTCCTTCAGATGGACGGTGACTGAATAACAAACATCCATTCATTCAGCTAACCTACCGGCATCCATTCCACAGTTCTTATGGAGAGCCTAATGGGCGGTAGGCACTTGGAAACACTCAAGAGAGAACGACCCTGCAAACAAAGTCTCTGCAGCCTGGAGCCCAGACTCCATGGAGGTGAAAGATCAGGACACAGTGGGATGGAGTGGGCAGGTGGGCAGATATTTAGTAAACAAAGGGTAACATGCGAACAGAGAGCTGAACAAAGTGAGGTACATGGATCTTGGGGGACCGGTTCTGGCAGAGAGGACAATGAGCACAACGGCTGGACCCAGGAAGGGAACACCTCAATGTGACAGCATCACTGACGAGGTCCCTGGGAAGGGAGGCAGGAGCAGCATGAGGAACAGTCTAGAGGGAGGCCACAGTGAAGACAGGCTAACATCCTAAGGGGACTGGGAACCCACACTCAGCTTTGAGCAGTAACAGAAAGTCTTTATTTTAGGGATGAAGAATGTAGTTTCCCCTTTCCTTTGGTAATCATTATGTAGCATGTATAAATATGTTATTGTTACAGTTGTTAGGTGCCATTGAGTCGGTACCGACTCATAGCGACCTTACGCACAGCAGAACGAAACACTGCCCAGTCCTAGGCCAACCTCACTACGCTTGCCACGCTTGAGTCCATTGATGCTACTATTTGGCCAATCCATCTCATTGGGGGTCTTCCTCTCTTTCTCCGACCTTCCACCTTATCAAACATAATATCCTTCTCCAGCGACTGCTCCCTCCTGACAATATGTCCAAAGTATGAGAGATGAAGTTTGGTCATCTTTGCTTCCAAGGAGCACTCTGGCTGCACTTTGTCCAAAATGGGTCTATTGGTTCTTTTGGCAGCCCATGGTCCTTTCAATATTCTCCTCCAACACCATAACTCAAGAGCCTCAATTCTTCTACGGTCTTCTTTATTTACTGTCCAGCTTTCACATGCATATGAGGTTATTAAATGTATAAGTATAGTATTTATCAATAAATGACTCTGATAAGAAATGATCATTCAAGTAAAGTCATACATACTCTGTTCGTGTTTCTGGGTCACTATGGCAGGAATGGCACATGGCACTGAATCGGGACACAAAAAAATCGTAACGCCTGTGATAGGAAGGTGTGTCTTCTTCGATATTTGCAAATTTGACAAACTAAAATGCAAAAATAACAACATTAGTGGTTTATCACCTTTTCAAAAATATGGGACAAACACATTTACTTGTTAAATTAACAAGAGATATTCAAATAAATGGCACAGGAGTTTTTAGTAACGAGCTACAAGTGTCCAGCCAACCAAGAAGACAGTCTTCTGAAGAGAAGTCCACTTCCTGATGAGGGAGCGGACCCGCGCTCACTCTAGAACTGGTCTACATTCTTAACTGCTGAGGGTGGTGCGAGGACTGCGAGCAAGTGTAACATGTCCGTCCACTTCCTGATGAGGGTACGGACCTACGCTCACTCTAGAACTGGTCTACATTCTTACCTGCTGAGGGTGGTGCGAGGACTGTGAGCAGGTGTAACATGTCCGTCCACTTCCTGATGAGGGTACGGACCTGCGCTCACTCTAGAACTGGTCTACATTCTTACCTGCTGAGGATGGTGCGAGGACTGTGAGCAGGTGTAACATGTCCGTCCACTTCCTGATGAGGGTACGGACCTGCGCTCACTCTAGACCTCGTCTACCTCCTAATGTAGGGCAACCTCAGGTCACACCTCTGGGGGGACTTTCCTTCCTAATCATAGGGAGGAAATCTGACCGTCATTACATAACATGCACATGACCACTATTTATGCAAATGGGACAAGGGAAATGGACACAGAAACTAAAGGAAACATGATATAAACTCAGTAAAAAAGAAACATGAAATTCAGTCAATCTTCTTCCCAGTGACTGAAAAAAGAAAACCATCCGTGTGTCTTGTTAAGAGCCACAGAGTCAGTTCCAACTCATAGTGACCCTGCATTGGACTTCCGAGGAGTAGCCAGTGGGGGTGAGCCACCTACCTTATGGCTAGCAGCCCAGTGCCCACCCTACAGCACCACACCAGGACCTCAATCCATGTGTCTCGTATCTTTTAGATATTCTATAAGGTGGTACATAGTAAACCCCAAAGATTCTTTAATGTACATTTTTTTTTCTCAATTAGTTTTCTTCTTCTTAATTCTTAGTCATTTCATGACCACAAACTGTTCATTTATTTGCAAATTTAATGTATGTATCTATAAAGACTTGTCAGGAGATAGAAGTCTGGTGGCTTGAAAAAGGAATATCCAAAATAACTGTTAAACCAAATGTACCGCCCCTCTGTTGGAAACACAAGTGAAGTGAGGAAAGACTAACTGGCAATGCTACAAGGCAGGCTGTCTAGGAAAGGGCCGCCAACACAGCACATGGTCTGATGAGCTGACATGCACAGGCTCGTCTGGGCCACACACTGTGCTGCAGGTTTGCATATAAGTCCCTAGGTCATCTTCCCAACAACCCTCGTATCCCATTTTGCAGACGGGAATACACACGTCAGAAGCTTACTAACTTGTCTGATATAGTTTCCAAAATAGTGAAACTGGCATTAGAGTCCAGGGTGTGGCTCTTCATTTTCAGGATTCCTATTCTACGCACACACTGAGCATATAAATAGATTCTAAAAGTATCAAACCAAGCACCCATTCTTTTCATATAAACCTTGAAGGGCATGGGAAACTGCTCAGTAAATGAACTACACAAAGTCTACACACAACAACCCATACAACAGATGCCATCCAGTCAGTTCTGATTCAATGGTGTCCCTCCATGCATCAGAGCAGAATGTGCTGTTCAGGATTTCCAATGGCTGACTTCTCAGAAGGTTACCACCAGGACTTTCTTCAGAGACAGTTCTGGTGGACTCGAATTTCCAAGGTTCCACAGAGCATGCTAACTGTCTCCAGGACGCAGAAGTCCCTATACACAGTATGTTCCCAGTTTTCTAATAAGAAAGTAAAGGAATAAGGCAAAATACTGAAGACTCACTTCTGAATGATGGTTTCTTGGAAATGTTCTGCAAAGGTTACTGGGGTGCTAAGAGAGAATCATCTAGATGTTTGAGTGAAACTTTTCATACATAAGAGAGCGGTTTTACTCACAGAATTTGTCCCGAGAACTTGAAGTGTTGGCTCCCCCGACTCCAGCAGCTTTGCCACCATGTGAAGGAAGCTCTCCACAAAAGGCTTGATGCTCTGAGAATGACAAGCCATGAGCAGTTGGTCCAGAGCCTCCATGGCAATCAAGACGTACCTGAGCGAGACAGCGATGATGGAGAAGCACTGTAGCTCGGAGTTCTCCCCAAGGACTTTTCATCACTAACAATTAAAGTATGCTTATGTACACACAAAGAACACTGGCAAGACGTGGGCACCTCTAAATGAAATCTTCATTCTCACATAGCCAGTGACCTTAAAGCCACTGACCAGGGAGCTGACTCAACTCGTGGGGACCCCAGAGGGTCCACAGGACTTACATGGACTGATTTTTTGATAGTATGTCGCCAGCCATTTCTTCTGCAATACTTGTTGGTGGACTCCAACCCCCATTCTTTCGGTTAGCAGTCCAGCACGTTTACTGTTCACACTATCCAGGGACTGTTTAGGTGCCTCAGCAGATTATAAAATAGTTCTCAAAAACCACCCATTTCCTCCTTTTTACAAAACACTGTCCTAAAGCTTCTTTAACATGATTGCTGTATCAATTTTCTTTGTAAACATGGACATATTCTATTTCTCAAATTTCTAATTATAATTTTTTACATTTGATCCAAAGTAGTGATTATAAGCAATGTGCATAAAATTCCCAGCATAATTTACTCATATTGGTAAATCTCAATTGATAAAACAGGGTATTCTCAGAAAAGGTTTTCATTATGTTACTTTATAATCCACCAGATTCTAAATTGTACACTAGAAATTAAAAAGCAGGTATGAGATAGCGTTCCTTCAATCATCAACAAGAAAACTATAATCAAGTGGGGAGGAAAGTGGGGGTGGAGAGAGTCCCTACGATCTTATGGAAAATGGAATCTTCTAAGAAACTAGGATCAGTGACCAACAGCATGAAGACTCCGTGTGACTGTTTACACACAGAAACTGACTAAGAGTGCAGACCCCTATTTACCGGTGGCAGGAGAGTCTGCACACTCCCAGACCAGCACGCTGCTGTCTTGAATCTGTATATCTAGGCCTGGAACCTGAACCCACAGCCATGGAGTCCAGTCCTACTCCCAGTGATCCTACAGGCCACAGAGAACTGTCCAGAAGGTCTCCACAGCTATAAATCTGTACAAAAGTAGATTGCCACAGCTCTTGCCTGTGGAGCGGCTGGTGGGTTTGAACCACTGGTCTTCTGGTTAGCAGTTGAGCGCTTTAACAACTGCACCACCAGGGTTCTTTAACCCCAATACAGTTCTCTCTTATTTCCCAAAAGGTACAGCAAAACCATAACTGTGTGAAAAGTCATAAAAAGTAGTTGGCTAGCAGGTTCTTTCTGTGTGTTCAATTTAAAGATGGATTTTAAAAGCAGAGTAGCACATACCCTGACTGTCTAAGGAAAGTCAATTTCTACTCCTCCCCACTGAGAAACCTCAAAAGATAAAGGGTGCTTACGCTCAAGGCAACCCTATTAACTAACATGAATCTTTTCACAGAGCCCAACCCCCAGGAAAGGAATGAACTGCAGCCTCCACAGTTGTACCCATTTCTTCACACACCATCACGATGCTTAATCTTTCCTATGTTATCTCTGTCTGACTAGATGGCCAAAGTCATTCATAGGGTAACTTAGCCTAGAAACAATTTTCCAAAGATGCTAATACAGGCATTTCTCAAAATGAAAACGGAACAATGCTATGCTGAAACAACAAAAGTAAACCAACTGCTGTTGAATCCATTCAAACTCACGGCAACCCCATTAAAACAACAAAGTACAACAGGAACTGTGGTCTTACTTCTGTAGTATACGGCCCCATTTCACAAAGACTTCCATGTCCTTTATCAACTCTGCAACCACACAAACACTAGAAGCACTATGAAACACGAAGTCATCAAAAAGCCCTATTACAAATTATACACAGTGAAATTTTCTTGGGATACAGATTTGAGGTTTGCTTGAAGAATTCAAATTATGTCATCAAAAGCCTTAAGTAAGAGTCAAGATTTCCAAGCTTCTTTTAAAAAATACTGATAAGAATCCAAATATAATTATTTCTCTACTCAGAGGATAAGAGTTGCAAAACAACTGCACATTAAACAATTACAAGTAAAGGCTCACCGGTAGTCTCTGGATAAAAGTGTGGATCAAATACCTGTCAGGTAGAGTTACACCTGCTGCAAGTACCCGAGTTACACTAGAAACACCAGACACAGCACAATTTTTCATTGCTGCCTTTTCTTGGCCACAAATCAAAATACAAAGTTTAAGATTAAAAAGGGTAAAGTCCTTAGATCAAGGAGGAAAGTTCAGGATAAACAGATCTACAAGGACACATGTGGTCTATTAGCAATTCGTTTTCTTACCCAGAACGATGCCTCACAACATCCCTGCTCAACCTTTCTGCCAGGTAAGTACCAATTCGATCCAGTTTCTCAGGAGCAGATACTGCATAGAATGTCAATTTCTCCATGTCCGCTTTAACGAGGCCATCCTAAAAAATATTAATTAGAACAATAAGATAACAGGTTACTGTTATTTTCCTGCTTTTTTTCCCCCAGAGGGATTTTTAAATTTGCAGTTTTTACATTTCTCCTTTTTGGACTGGGCATACTAGTGTCCACACTAGCATTGAATTCCTCAGCAGATAGCCTTTCTAGCGCCAATACCCAACGCCCTGGGTACCGAGAGATTTCAAAAGTCCACAAATGCCTCATGCAGCCCAAATACTCAAATGCATAAGGGGACTTCAAAAGTTCATGGAAAATTTCCATTACCTTTCTATTTCATTTCCCACAAACTTTCTGAAGCCCCCTTGTATCGTCACATACAACAAGTTAGACTTTAACAGCATCTTTTATGGAGAAATGGCTCGACTCACGACGATGTTCAGGACAGAGTGCATTGTGGTGAAAGAAACCTTCTGAACAAAAGATTTCAAGTTCAAAATTTAAAATGTATCAGATATTGAGCCTATTTTGCTCCCTTATATGTACAACAGGGTTTTTTTAAATGATTCAGATTTTGCCAACACTGTTAGAAACTTTAGTTTATAACAGAGCAGCATTCAGAAGAACTGTGTAAATTTGAGCTTCACACCAAAGTATCCCAAAAGCAGTCCCCGACGAAAATTATTTCATGTCGTCTATCTCTGCCCTAGAAACAGTGCAGCTCAGCTTAAGGAGAAGCTCTCTTGCCCTAGTGCACTCGTGAACAACAGGAGTCACTGGGCCAGCCAGCACCCTGAATTTCCAGGTCCTACGGCCCACGTTCTGGTGTGGTGTTGTGGGTTAATGTGCCAGACTGCAAAGCCGTTTGAACTGCAAGATCAGCGGTTCAAGCTTACCAGCTGCTCCTCAGAAACCCTATACAGGGTCGCTATGGGCCAGAATGGACTCAATGGTACTTTTAACAATAACAACAATATGGCTCAAGTCACTAACGGCTGTTTAGGACCAAGGGTGGGAAGCAAAGAAGCAGAGGAAGTCTGGCAAATAACGAACGGAAGCACATATCAGTTTGTGTTTTCAATGTAACAGGCCCATGACATCCCTCAGCTGTGTTCTGTTCTTCTGGCGAAGCCATCCCCTCGTATCTCGAGCCTACTCCTCCTTCTCAAGCTTGCTGCTACTCTGCCCTCTCCATCTCTGACAGCACCTGCACTCTTGGTCTCTTTCTCAGAGAGAAGGAAGCCATCAGGTGAGAATTTACCTGAAAAAGCACCCCAACTTTTCCAGTACCTCCACAGGGTGACTTTGTTCCCCATAGTAATGTCGGGTGACATGTTTGGTTATAGGTACTGAGTTAGGTATGGGGCATTGTAGTACTGGTTGTCTAGGGGGTGGAGGTCTGCGATGATGCTAAACAACCCACATTGCAGAGGACACTCTCCACATCAGCCATGTATCCAGACCAAAACGTCAACAGAGCCATGGTTGAGACACTTCAGCCTGGACTTGGGGCAGGAGCCCTGCACTATTCCACTTGCTTCCCTCACTAGACTGCTCTTTGAGGGCAGGGACGGTGATGGGAAAAACTCTGCATCCTAGGCATCCACTGTGGACACACCACCACATGTGGCTTTCAAATGAATAAATATAAGAAATATCTGTAAGTGGCTTATGATCGCTATGGGTATACAAAAAGATGCATGTGAATGTCTTTTGACTTTTGTTTTCAATCTTGTGTTAAAAGATTGCTACTTAAATACATCTCACATGAAGCCTTGGCAAAACCCAAGACTCCTATCACTCTTCTCTAATTTACCTGCCAACCTATCATTCCCTGGATCAAGTGCCATCAAAGCTCCCTCACAACCTACAAATCAGAGGGGATTAAAGTAACTGCCACAAACTGACCTCCACTTGATCTTCAGCAACCAGATGGCCTGGACTCCTCAGGGAAATCCTGACTTGGTCTATGAAAGGCTGCATCTGAGTTTTCAGCTCAGTAACAATGGTCAGTATGACCACCACATGCTACACGCTACAGTTCAAGCTCTGTGAACCTTCAGTACAAGTCTACGAGCTGAACTCCAGTGTATCGCACACCATTCTCTTGTCAGCGTCCCCTCGTTGGTTATGAAGAGACGTTTTTCCACCGCTCCAGACTGTATACATCCTTCAAAGCTCAGCAAATGTGATTTCCAACGAGAATAACTTCCAGCCCACGGGGATGTCTCCCACTTTAAAGGCAAAAAAACCCACAAAAAACTGTAGCCTCTACTGTTCCTAGTATTTTACTTGCAGATTTATACACTGTACTTTTAATATTAAGCATGCTTTTGCTTTTGATAGTCAATAAATGCACAGCTCCTTAAAGGCAGGTGCATTATCTTGGCGTCATATCTATTTTTTCTTGTGGTGAGGTGCTGTTGCGTCAGTTTCCACTCATGATGACCCTACACACAACGCAACAAAACACTGCCTGGTCCTGCACCTTCCTCACAACTGTTGTTATACTTGAGCTTGCTGCTACTGCTGCCACGGTGCCAATACATCTCGCTGAGGGTCTTCTTTTTCAATGCCCCTCCACTTTACCAGGCATGATGTCCTCCTGCAGGAACTGATCCCTCCTGATAATACGCCTGTAGTCTAGTATTAAACTGATATGGGAAGAAATAGTGTAAGGGTTTGAGTCCCAGGATTTGCCTTATTTTAAATACGTTTAAGTACCAGCGAGTCGGTTCCGACTCATAGCGACCCTGTACAGGGTTTCCAAGGAGCACCTGCTGAGTTTGAACCACCAACCTTGTGTTCCGCGGGAGAAAGATGAGGCGTTCTGCTCCCGTAAAGATTAACAGCCTCGGAAACCCTGTGCAGGGTCGCTATGAGTCAGAACCGACTCCATGGCACAAAACAACAACAACAACAACTGAATACATTATGCCAGATTTCTGCCTAATCTAAGAAAGGCTCTGAAACCAAGATGAGCTAGCCAGTACAGATCATCAAAAGTCAGAGAGGGAGCACAGAGATATAAGTGTCAGGTGAGACTCAGGGGTAAAAGTAGAGAAATGAAATCAGGGAAACCTTAGGGAGGGCAGCAGAGGGAAGAATGGGTCAGCAAAGAGAAGGCTCGGGAGATGTAGGTGAAATTACTTTTGGATCTTCCGGGAATATGTTGTCCACCAGGCGTTTGTAACGAGGACGCAAAGCCGAACAGCAGCAGCACACTCCTGGTTAAAAAAGACAAAAAGTACAGAGATTATTAAACTCCACACTGTGAACATTGCTGGGCTATCTAAAGCAAGGGGAAAACCCCCAAACTGCCCAAAACAGGATAAACCATGCACATAACTATTTAAGAACTGAGAAAGTTCAATGGCCTCCCCGCCCCTCAAAGACAACAGCCAGTTCAAAACGTATACATTAATGGCTTCTTCCAACTTCCAGAGGATTCTGTCTTCCCTCAATGTCCTCCTGGAAACCCAGCCACCACATGTTGTTGTTGTTAAGTGCTGCTGGGTCCGTTCAGACTCACAGCAACCCTGTGAACAGACCACTGCCGGGGCCTGCACCATCTCACAGCTGTTCTGGTTGATGGCTGCAGCCACTGTCCACCCATCTCTTTGAGGGTCTGCTTCCATTTTGTGGATCCCCTCCTTCACCAGGTGTGTCCTGATGTACTGCAGGTTATGCGCTGGACTGCAAGGTTGGTTTGAACTCCAAGATCGGGGCTCAAGCTCACCAGCTGTTCCTTCAGAACCAATTCGACGGTACTTCACCACAACTCCTTTACCAAACACGATGCCCTTCTCCAGGGACAGCTCCTTCCCAAATTCATCCTCTACAAAGACCTCTAATTACATTTCAGAATCCACCCAATCCTATGGAGTGCAGTGGCTCTGTAGGATAAGCACTGCTCTGCAAACCACCAGCTGCACTGTCAGAGTAAGAACTGAAGTTTTCTGCTCCCACAAAGGTGTACAGCTTTGGAAACACTATACAAGGTCACTATGAGTCGGAACTAATTCGACAGCATTTAACAGACCAGACACTATATCCATAATACACCATCCGTACACCTTGAGCTCTTTTCTGATTTCATCTCAGATGATGCCCCTAGCCCCCTGGGCCCACTCCAGCTACAATGGACTCCTGGGAGTCCTCCCATGTCAGGCCCCCACCTGTTTTAGGATCATTGTTCTTTGGATTTCCTCACCCTGAAACATGACCAGACCTCCATTTGATGAGCTTTCACTTAAATCTCACCTTCCTAATGAAATCTACTTTGACATCCTCAACTAGTTCTGCCTTTGTCTTTTCCCCAAGCATGCATGTATCACCAAGCACACTGAATAATTTGCCTGTAAACTACAGTCTGACCTGCAAGGTGTACGGTACAAGCTCACCAGCTGCTCCTCAGAAACCCTATACAGGGTCACTTTGGATAGGAATCGACTCAACGGCACTTAACAACAACAACTATGGTTGGAGTCCTGGTATGACGCTGCATATCATGCACTGGACTACAAGCTCAGTTTGAGTAGCAAGGTCAGTGGTTCAAATACACCAGCTGCTCCTCAAAGACCCTACACAGGGCTGCGATGAGTCGGAACAACTGGATGGCATTTAACAATACTATGTTTATTGCTTATCCTCTGTCTTCCCAGGCGAGGCCGTCAGCTCAGATGAAGGCAGGGTCTTTGTCTCACAGGTGAGGACCCAGATGACTGGCCTAAGAGCAGGCACTCGGCAGGCATCCGGCACCTGCAGACTGACTGTAAGGATGAAGACACGTGCAAACCTCAGTGTACCACAGCAATTTCCTCCTGGTGTTCCTACTTTTCCACTGTAACTGACCCAGCTCAGATCTTGGATTTCATCTCTTCCTACATGGTTTCTCTGCCTACTCCTGTGGCCCCTACAAAACACCCCAAACCACGCCATGGAGTCAAGTCTGACTCACAGCGACCCTACAGAACACAGTGGGACTGCTCCACAGTTCTCCCTGCTGTAACTCTTTATGGAAGCAGGCTACCACAACTTCCTCCTGTGGAGACACTACTGAGCTCCATTAGCAGCCCAATGCTGGTCAGCAGGGCTCCTGGGGGCCTGACTACACAGAGGGACACATTCACACCCCTCTCAGGCAGTATTATTATCCCAGGTTCCTAACAACTCACTGATACTTGTTGTTGTTGTTAGGTGCCATGGAGTCGGTACTGACTCATAGCGACCTTATGCACAGCAGAACGAAACACTGCCCGATCCTGGGCCAACCTCACTACTGTTGCCACGCTTGAGTCCATCCATGCTGCCACTTGGCCAATCCATCTCCTTGGGGGGTCTTCCTCTTTTTCTCTGACACTTACAGTATACGTATCAGAGAAATCACATTATAATTTTCACTGATACATTATAGTTAAGTGCCACAGAATCAGTTCTGACTTCTAGTGATCCAGATTAGGGCTTCTGAGACTATGGATCTTTTCGGGAATGGAGCCTCATCTTTCTCCCACAGAGCCACTGGCAGGCTTGAACCACTGACTCTGTGGTTCTGAGTCCAGTGCTATGACACAGAGACACTGTCCTCCTGGTATGTACAATGAATGTGTACAAATGATCTGGCATAACATCCTTTCAACATTTATAAGCTCTGGTTAAACTTTCCCAAATTAGTATAGCCCCAAGTAGTTTTATTTTTCTGGCAGACACATTTTAATCTGAGAAATGGTTATAGGAAAGGTGAATGAAACCATCTTTAGCTTAAAATTAAAACAAAGGATTGGGGGATCTGAAACAAATATGGAAAAGTATCTAACTGTCTAATTTAGAAACCCTTTATTGGAAAAAGACCAACAAGCAAATGGAAAATGCCATGAAGAAAAAGTTATTAAATAGACATACAAAAATCCAATAAAAACCGTAACTGGCAGGCTGAGTTTGCATTTAAGAAACACTGCCAGCACTGGGAGGGAGTCCTGGAAAGCACCTACACTGTGAACAGCTCTATCATTCACAGACTTCTTTGGAATTCAACTTAGCAATACATATGAAGGGTCATTCCACATTTAGAAACCTCAGCTTATGATATGAAAACAAGGAGGTCAAAGAGCTATATGCCCAAGTATGTTTTTTGCAGTGATTATATCTATTAAAACAACCCCAAATGAGCAGATGAAAAGCCCACCTAGAGCATAATAAGGCAGAATAGAATACTACTAAGCTAAGATCCTTAGAAGATCTGACACACAACACCTTAAGCCCATCTACACCCGACCGTCCATAAGCACATTCATCTACCTAGCTGTACTGTTGACCCTGCAACGTAAGAATCAGTACTTTACTTTACAAATGCAGAAACTGAAGTTCAACAAGATTAAGACAGTGGCTTTAAGTCACAAGATTTTGAATCTGCTCCAAAATAACCACATCTTGGAAAAAATCTATATATGAGTCAAACACAAGGATTTCAAAATGAGAAGAAATAAACACAGCAAGTCTGAAAATGGCTGTACACCCCTAGGCCAGTAATGCACATTGTTGTTCTTAAGTACTGTCAAATTGGTTCCGATCCACAGTGACCCTATATAGGGTTTCCGAGGAGCAGGGGGTGAGCTTGAACCACTGACCTTGCTATTCAAATCATCTTTGCAGTCCAGTGCATGAACCCACAGCACCATACCAGGACTCTAGGAATGCGCATATCTAGAGGAAAAGCCATACAAGGAACTACGAGAGAGGGGAACATTCAGTCTCTGTCAGCTGTCACCATGGAAGGAGCTGTGACCAGGCTTTGCTCTGGGTCACTCCAGTGTTCTCATGGAAGCAGCTCTGCACCCAGGGGTGAGGCGCTGGGCTTTGTGGAGAGATCTGAGATCCTGTCCGACAAACCCCGTAACTTAGCAGGAATGTGGGTCTTGAACCAAAATGAAAGGATTCCCTTGATTTATAACAGTGATGGCGCACATGGATTCTATGTGGGACTCAACATTTGGGCTAGAAGTTAAGAGCACAGATCAGTGAGGAGCTGACCGAGTAGCCTCCGGCATGAGGCTACTACACTAGCTGAGACAGCTTTCCTCCGGTGTGTCCACCACTCAGACACACAGCTGGTCATTACCAGCCACACCCAATCTGCCCACTCAGATTCCCAGCGCAGAGCCAGGAAAGCAGCAACTAAAAGCATAGTGTTAGGATTTGTCCTGCACCTTCAGTGATCACCCAGCTCTGGGCACACACTACTGACCTCTCCCGGCACGCGCTGGCGTACTCTCTCAAGACCCCTTAGGAAGGCAGCAGCACCAACGGATGGAGGAAGGGCCTCCACAGGAAATGGCTGGGCAAGCACATCATCATGCTCTACCCACATCTAAATGGTCAACATCCAAGTATTTAACTTGTATCTACTGTGCGATCAAAGAAGGCACCATGTTAAAGTGTCCGGCTGGAAACAGATGTGGCAGCCCAATTCTGTGAAAATGACAGCCACAGAAACCGGATGGGGCAGTTCTCCTCTGTCCCAGAGGACCGTAGTGAGAATGAATCGAGGCAGTGGGAATGGGAGGGACTAACACTGCTAGATACCACAGGCACCAGAAAGTATAAGCTAGACAACACATCTGTCCTTCAGTTTATATATTCCTATAAAAAATTCAGTGACTAACTCAGTAGTACGCACTGGACTGCTAATCGCTGCTAGGGTTGGCAGTTCAAACCCACCAGCCACTCTTGGAAACCCTATACAAGGATGTTATGAGTTGGAACAAAGTCAACAGCATACAACAACGACAATGAGTTTGGTGCTATGTGCTGATAAAATAAAATGTTTCCTATTTTTCTCAGGATATTTTCTACCTTAACCCAAACCTACTGCCACTGAGTCGATTCCGATTCATAATGACCCTATGTAAGGTTTCCACGGTTGTAAATCTTCGTGGGAGCAAAAAGTCTCCTTTTTCTCCTGTGGAGCAGCTGCTGGATTCAAGTCCAACACATAACCCTACTACACTACCTTAGGAGAAGAAAACAATTCCAAAGATTTCTTTAGGAGACTTTTCAGCTAAATTAACAGAGCCCAAACACCAAACAAAGGTCAGATCAATTAAGGGGAAAAAAAGGGCAGTGATCAGGTTAGCAAAATTCCTATTTCTGCAGGCAATGGCTATACCTAAAAAGACTCAAGATGAAATCTATTAAAATCGCATATGTAGTGAGCGGTTACGTTCCGTAGCACACTGAGCTTGGCTGGTGTTGCACAGAAGAAAGTGCTCAGAACTGGCTAAGAACCACCGCACCTTCAGATACTGTAAATTCAAACTGCTCTCATGGTAAAGATACTATAAACGCTTCAAGTATGCAGTGGGAATGGTGAGTTTTGTTATTTCCAGGAAGAGAACATTCTTAACAGACTAGAAAGTCTCACTGACATTCTTCAACACTTTTAAAAAATGTAAACTTAGAATACAAACACCTAATTCCCACTTTCAATCAGAAGACCGGCTGTCCCACAGGTAGCATGGGGTGGTGGAAGAGCAGGGCTCTGGGGTAACACAGCTCTTGGGATTAACCCAAGGTCCCATTGGTCCAGCTGGAGAAGTAGGCCGGTCATTCTCTGGCTACAGCTCTACCTCCTCATCAGTGAAACAGGCATAATAATGCCATCTTTGCACTGATCAAAAAACTCAGAAAAATTGAAAGTTCTTATGAAGGGTACAATAGAGTAAGCATTCCAGAAGGTGGTAGCTATTACTAGAAATGCTGAAGGTTTAGGGGGCATAGTGGGTGACGTCTTGGGCTGCTAACCACAAGGTCAGTAGTTTGAATCTACCAGCTGCTCCTGGGAACCCTATACAGGGCCGCAATGATTCGGAACCAATTCGACAGCACACAACAAGATGCAAACCTCTGCCAGAGAGGAATCATTTCCAAACCACGTTGCCTTTTCTATGTGGTTCAGAGCAGCTTCAACACCAGCATCGTCACCTGGAGTGGTAGCTGCTGCCTTCCAAACCCAGTGTGTGCAGCTGTGAAGTAGGTACCTCGAGGACTGCGTTCACTGGTTATCTTCTCCTCCGCTCCAGAATGAGGAAGCAGAGGCAGAGCCAGGCGCCCTGCCCAAGACCACACAGCTGGTACGAAGCGGAGCTCAAATCCAACTGCAGGCTCATCTGAGGACTTCAGGGGATAAGTGCGCACTAAACCGAAGTACCAGAGAATTTCCACGAGTCTTGAAAACATGCTCACTTCTTTGTACAAACAAGGACTAGAGGAGGAAGATCAGACCCAACAAGATGGAATGGAGAAGAGCATGCCTGATGACCAGATGATCGGGGGGGGGGGGGGCCGGCGGCGCAGTTAACTGCTCACAGTAAGTTCTCATGAGGATCAAAGCCAATACACCTTCCTAACTGCTTACTGTAAATGAGAAGCTACCAACCACTGAGAAGGCAGATGAAACTAGCTTACAAAAATCTCAATTCACTCAGCTTTCTATAAAACGATACCGTACTGAAGACAATGTAAAGTTTCAACGACTGTGGCAACAGTAATCATAAAAGCTATTATTCCATGGACTACCTTAACTAAGAGAACACCGCCCCAAGAAACAACACAAAATCCAGTGTAAT